GAGTCACTCTAATATACACAAGTTTAACAAACTTTTTATACTATTGACTATTGTTTTCCTATAAATTAGAATAAATATGTAAAAGAACTTATTATTCATGTACATAAAGTTTTTATGTTCAATATAATGTTCTTAGAGTGACACTGGATGAATGTTACAATAATATTTGTGATATTATTCGGCTCTTAAATTAAGGATTCTGATTTGTTTGTTTGCTTTGTAAACCACCTGGTATGGTATGGCTGTCGATAGGAAGTATATTCAGTTCGCATGATCCTTTCAGCAAATGTCCTTTCAGCGAAAGAATAAAAAGAGGAACGAACACTGACTGGTAGTATCTGAGCTGTTGGATTACATTGCCATCAATGTCAAGCGGCAGCAGAATGTTACTCAGCATGAATTATTCACTCACAATCAGCCAAGTGTCGCAGTTGAACAAATATTCAGTGAGAATAAAAAAGTATCATCCATCCTTGTTGATGCCTGACACTTGACATTGCATGTAGTAAAATACAAAGGACCATGCCAAATGATTAGTGTTTACATTTATTATTTTGAGTAACCGGGTTGTGGTGGGTGAATCGGAAGTAAAGATTACTTTTATAAAGTTCTCAGCTGCACATTAAGTGTGAATGTTATTTATAGCACTATGCATAACTTCATAAAAGAGTAAAAAGCCGGTAAGAGAATGAAAACTAAAACATACAAATTTGCCACAACATAGTTTTGCATAAGCCAAAATGGAACTGGCAATTTTTGTAGCGATCGGCCTCATACAAAGTATCAAAATTGTTTCTGGTATAGTTTTCCAGATATATGGTTTTTAATATTTACATTGGGTTTGAGACCTAGTTATACTTTCCTGAAGGACTGGGCAGTGCTGAATCCAAATCTGATCTCAGATTTTCTCCATCACATCTGAGATTTAAGATATCGTTTTGAAAAACGCCTTGTATGCCATCCGAAAGTCCATTCTGCAAACTTTAAAATAAAGGTTTAACATTTTACATATTTTCATTCTTCTTCGTGATATTGGTTAATAATCGGATAATTTAAAATTATTCGGTTAATCGAGTTAAATGTTTTTTTTTATATTAAACGTTTAATACTTTTTCAAGGATTTTCTTTATATAAAAAATAAAATTAATATTTCTCACTTCTTCGTATTCAATTTCTTGAAAAATAGACTAAATTAATGTTTATTTTTTTTAATTGTATCTTTTCGTGCCAAATCCTTTCACATAGATCATTCAGATCGAGTCGAAATTAAGTAAGCATTAATAGGAGAGTACCTTAACGATATATGTATATAGATACTTAAAAAGATGAAATCGCAGGAATGTTCCTTAATAATGTGTTATTTTTCCTTAATTAATATTTTATCTTTTATAAAGGAAATTATTTAAAATAGTGATCATTTGAGATCTGTTCCACAAAAGTAATCTATTTCATTGCAAATATTATTGGGATACGTGGTACATTTTAGTTTTTAAAACTTTCCCTATGTAATTAATGCAGGCATTAACCATATTAAGTTTTTGAAAACATTCTTGGATCATCAATGTCTTCATCACATGAATCGGATGAATTAATCATAACGGTAATATAAAACGGTAGCTTTATTTTTTACATAAACTTCAAATCTCCTTTCTTGTCAGAACACCAATCAGGTTGACGTTAAAAGAAATTGAAATTAACTTCTAATAATTTTTATACTAAGATCGGGTTTGTTGTGGGCTCCTTTATCAGTGTCTCTAGAAAACTAACTACTAATCTACCGGAAGCACACCAAATGATAAATTTACTAATCGAATAAAATTGTGAGATGAATTTTGAATTATGACAGTTTTTAAGCAAATGTACATACATATGTATGTATATACATAAATATGTACATGTATTCAAGTACTTAAGTTCTGTTGTCTGGATTAAAAACTCTTTTATTAATTTTAAAACAAAAAGCATTTATCATTGGAATGTTTATATTCCAAAATTTCGAACACAAAAGTGGGATTTTAAACACGGTCCTCTTCGATTTCGATGAAATTTTGAAAATTTTACATGGCCTTTGTTGACAATAGCAGAGTCTCATTGAGTTGGTATTGACTTCACTAAGACCTTTTGTGCAGCCCTTTGCTTCACCATTGGAGATATGAATGCATGTACTTTAAATCTAAATTATTATACGATTCTACACAGAAAAAAGTTTCAGCATAAATATTATGAACTGCTTTCATTGACTAAAGTTAATAATATTTAAGAACAAAGTATAACAAGTAGTCCGACTCTTTGACAGCAGTACCTAACTCTAAGCATGTGTTAGTGAAAAAGTACCTAACTCTAAATATGTGTTGGTAACAAAAATGTATATGTGTTGGTGCGTTTTGAACACACAGAGTTTTATAAAAAATTACAATTTTAAATTTGTTTGAATTTTCAATACCAAAAATTGAAACTCTGTTTGTAAATTAAAATTCAACAACAACAAAAATGAAATGTCAATAAATAGAAAAAAAATTTTTTCCATTTTAAGAAAATTAAACAATATTTTATGTGAAAAGTGCAATGAATCTATTTTAAAAAATTACGGATTTTTTGTGGATAACTGAAATTTCGCGTACGATCCTTAAAAGTGGTAAAAAAAGAAAGGTAAACTTTTGAGGGTTTTGACAAGTTTAAACTTCTCACAAGAGAGTTGAATTCACACGGAACTCGTATATGTGAGAGAGTAATTTCCTATATGTGAGAGTCGGACTACTTGTTATACTTTGTTTAAGAATAAGTTCCTAAATTGTATGAATTTTTTCATTTTTATATTTTTAAACATAATCTAGAAGCCTTGACTTAAAATATTAAAAATTTTCTTTATATTTTTCTGTTTGTTAAAAAATGTTTGAAATTTTCTTTAGAAAATTTTTTATTTCTCTATGATTTTTATTAGATTGAAAACAATGAAATATGCGCGTAACATGCAACATTTTCTGAAGAATAGATGTTTAGCTATATGCTGGTTTTTTTTATTTCATATTTTGTTTTCCAGCATTTTTATTTATTTATCATAAAAATTGGCTAATATGTAATTATTTTCTAAAAAATCGAAGATATTAATAGGTAACTGTTATTTATTTATTGCATTTTTGATGAAAATCAAAGAAAATGAACAAAAAAACAAAAAAATCTTTCATGTACAAATTCATACATTTTATGAACTTTTAATATTCTGAATGAAAATGGTTTGGGAAAAAGAAGTCATGTTCGATTCATTCAATTTATTTCAAAATTCATTCCTAATATGAATTATTTTTTTCTGTGTATAGGTAAATTTAGGAAATGTTAATCTAATTTCAAACAATAGATATACCAGAAATATTTTGAACTACATTAAAGCATTCATTTAACATTATAGAATAATGTAGAATTGAAAAATGTTTCTCAATGTAAGACAGCTGTAGACATGAAGGTAGAATTAGTTACACTATTAAAGATAATTTGAAAACTATTTATTTTAGACGCATTAAACAAAATTTTATTATTAATTTTTTATTAATAGTAATAGATAAGTCTTTGAAATACTAATATTTTGACTGACGCTGTTTGTATATGTACATATACATATGTATGTTCGTATGCTATAAAATCCTTCTAGTAAATTGTCTATATTTGCATACGATGTCATCTAAGTAGATTTATTTGTATGTCTTGTGACACAATTGCCATATATTCTTTTAAGCTGCAATCAGTAGAATAGTTGGGCATAATGATATCAAATACATAAAAAAAATTATATTAATATACAGACCTACCAAAAACAAACTATTTATGTATATTATTACATACATACTACGTTAGTACATGTTACTTTAATTTTGTTATCTCTTTCATTACACACTACAGTGGGGATTATATTACTAATGTATACTTCATTGGTTCTAAACCCATCTTAAATTATACTAATCGGTTCATAATCATCCTGAATCGTTTGTTAACTCTAGGATGAATCCTATTGCAAATGGTTAAAATCTGTTGATTATTTCACCTATCCCCCATACAACCGTACCCCCGAATAGGGCTTTACTCTCTGAGGCAAAGGAACTAAAATGGTAAACATATGGAATGAAAAAAAGAATCTTCATTTTTAATTTCAACTGATTAGTTTTACATTGTAAAGTTGCACTGATTTTATTAACGACACCTGTACATATACGTGTTAATGATTTATAGATATTACAAATATTAAGTATACGCCTAATTTAGAGAAGCATTTGAAAGTAAAAAAAACGATTTTGTTAAGTTTTTTTTTTGTGATTTTGATCTTAAAGTTTTTTTTATTTCATATGTTCACAATTTTTTTTAATTATGACAACTCAGAGAGTAAATCAAATGGTTATACATATTTCCATGATAAATTACACACAGTGTTACTATTGCAAAAATAGAAAGTAGCATTTAGGTATATATAAAAGATATATACCTAAATGCTATATATAAAAGATATACTGCAAAATTTAACAAATGTATAAGCTCCAAAGCCCTATACGGATGGTACGGTTGTAGCCGATTAGTATACTTGGAATATTATTTTATAAAAATGGAGTTGTATTTTTTACATTGGGCGATTTCGCAATGTTTTATTAAGTTGGAATTACCCACTTTTAAATAAGTTGATTTCTCTCTTTTCCATTCTCCCTAAATAATTCATGCAGTACTGTTGTTTATCAAAATGGATTTAAATATTAAATAAATGAAGTAAATAAATGTATGCACATGAAGCAACGTTTAGAAAAACTCTGTTAAATTTTAAATGATATAAATTTAAAAAATAAAATTGCGCTTCTCTTATACCCCAAATAAATCCGTTAAAATTATACAAATTTTATAAAGCATTAAGTAATACAGTTAATAGTTAATAATAAAACAATTAAATATTGTATTTTTATTGTTTTTTTTTTTTTCAATATGTTTGGCAAATAAGTTTACATAACAACACTTTTTTGTTACAGTGAATTGCGAAAAGGTGTTCGTTGCATACAAAGCTATACGAGGCGCTGCATGGATTTACAACAGCGAAATCAGTTCAACAAATTATATCATGGCACTAATCAATTTATAAGGGATTTATGTAACAAAGGAGAATTTCAAGATGGTAAGAAAACACAACAATTATTGAAAAATTATTACAACAAATTATTCTAAATTTAATTTTTATTTTATATCTAATGTGCGAAAAGTTAAATTAAATTAATAGTATTTTTTTACGAACCTGCAAAAATGTTGCTCAAAGATTACTTTACCAAACTTTACAGTTTTCCTAAAACTTGCGACCTGTAGTTTCATTATAAAGTTTACATGAGCAGACAGAGACTCAGGACTCCGAGTCGATTGGTACTAGCTTAACTTAATTTGGCTAGTTTCGAGAAAATGACTGTTCAGTACAAAAGTTTGACCATGCAACGAAAAATTCTTTGTGGGTTTGAATACACTACACTGGGGTCCTCAAGTCTAAATATTAGATGTAACTCATTTTTCATTAATTTTTTACAAAATACTTCACTTTAGTCACTTCTTAGTTTACACTATACTGGGGTCCTCAAGTGCACACTCCTTATTTCGAGCCTTTTTTATTGTGGGTTACAAATAATATATTATTTCCTTTAATATTTCTTATTTTATTTCCCATTGAACATAAAATTTCGGTTTATACGTCAAATAATGCTTTGTGTATATATCTAGTACGAAACTAATTTAATAATTTCAATTTTCTTTCTTAAATCTGATAAAACAACAAAAACAATTTCAATGATTAGTCATCGATAAGAGGATACTAAAAATTAAAAAAAAAAAAAAAAACTATAGCAAAAAAATGCTTTTGCAACTATTTGTTGAGAGAATGAAGACCCTGAATACATGATTTATTGTTCTTCAATTGCACTTTTGCTATCTGTATCGATGCAATAGCCAGCTGTGGCAAAACTACAATATACTACACACCCACACACACATCATCTGTATGCAAGTATTTTGTATGTAAGTTGTACTAGTTATACATATGTACGTGAAACATTCATACATACAAGAATACTTGTGGGATAATATCGACGCCTCCAACCCAAAACATTCTAAGTCGAAAAAGTGAGTTTTGAGATTTAAGATTTTAAATTTGTTAATACATATCTATATGTACATATATGCTAAGTATGCAAATTATTTTTATAAATTGCCAACGGATCGACAAATCTGAACCCTATTTTTACATGGTATAAGTTGAAGTCAATAGATTTAAAAATAAATTATGTAAAAGTACTCAGTTTATCGGGAGTAGGTCTCAAACTTTAAATATATCTATGAAAATGTGTATGCTATGTACATTTTTTCATTTAAGTTCTGAGCGGATCGGCTGATCTGTACCAAATATTGAAAACGTTTTAAGTATACTTACAATGTTCTAGTTCGGAGGCGTCGATATTTAGTACAAACACTGATGATCAGCAATTTAGCAATTTACTCGTTAATATATTTTCACGAAAAGGGAATTATTACGAATATTTGTGTACAAACATTTCAAATATAGAATGAAATATATATATATACCTTTTTGAAAATATGAACTATAATTTTGATTATAGTTGTGTTTGGACAACGAAATATATATTAGGATATGCATGCATGTATGTATTCGATTTTCTTTGTTATGTTCAAATGCATATACAATCACAACCAAACATATCCGAACAAGTTTATAGAAATTTAACTCCCATTGACATTTATCCAGTAAACATTTTCGGCAAATGCCTATTTTCTGAAATAACCTAATGAATAGAGTAAATTTCCTTTAGATATGTATTTATGAGATTTGACAATTTTTCAGACATTTATAAACATTTTGTGCGAAGAAATTTTTTGGTTACAATTTTCAACAAAAAATAGCTTTATACTATCACAAAGTTTTAATTTAATTGAAAATCAGTTTTTCATGAAATAACTTAACTTAAATGAAAAACTTGTTCCAAATTCATTAAAATTCCACTCGAATTCACTTATTAAATGGTAAAAAATATTCACAATGTAATATTGAAAAATCATTCATTCGAGATTTAAAGAAAGAATAACTCTCAGATCTTAAAATGAGCGAAAAATTCGGCGATTGATTTTTTTATATTAATATTTCGTCGCCATAAAGTAAAGATTTTTTCATTACCTACGATGAATGGAAGGACGTGTAATTTAACCACTTTTTCTCTTTGATCTAACATTTCATCGTTAGTCTAAGCCAACAAGGTAATAACATTAGAAGGCCAAAATTGCTCGCAAAATTTTTGTGTTCAATTCATAAATAATAATTTCCATAACCAACACACAAATAAAAAACATTTCCATAACCAACACACAAATTAACTAAAGAAATGCATCTTTCTTAAGATATGTATTTCCTATAGTTCAAGAGCTTATTCAAATGGCATTCAAATAGCACAGTGATATAGTCTATGAAGCACGTTAACTTACTTTTTAAGAGGGTGTGAAAAATCGCCATTTTGAAGTTTTAACTTCGAAAAATCATAAATTTTATAGTTTTCAAATTTGATATTTTGTTTTAAGATACAAGTGTTGCCTTTTAATATAACATCATCAGCGGTGATGGGGGTATATGTATATAAGTTTGTCAATCCGTGTGAAACACTGAGAAATATTCCTCTGAGACCCAACAAAATATTCTTGGTCCTTATGGGTATCTTTACGAAATTTCACAAATATAAGTTTTATATCAATAGAATCCTTATAAAGAATTTTTTTGGACCGATATATTATTGGTCATAACTAACACATAAGGTTCCAATCTGAAAATCACTTAAACGCACATTACTTGTTCCAAATAAAGATTTCCACACAATGTTTCTGTTATTTTTTACGATGGGTGAGTAATTGGTCATAGCACCCAGGTCCCTTCCGAAAATCACTTAAACGCATATTACTGATATCGTTACAAAATTACGCACAAATACTATTTATAAGACTACCGGTTAGTCTGTAAAATTTTTCCTGATCGGTCGATAATTTATCATACATCTCAGATATAGTACCCATCCAAAAATTACTTAAACGCCCATTAATTATTATCAATTGTGAATCTTTTAAAATGTCATAAACTTCGTACACAAAAAAGTAAAATAATGCTGACGCAGACTGAAGCAAATCTCCTAGAATACGAAAAAAATAAAAATTTTCGTGTACAGATTTGTACAAAAAATGTCCATTGGGTAAGAACTTTGCACATAATCACACACGTTTAACCACACATAAAATATCGTAAAGCATTGTTTTGTGTATTGAAATAAATGAATGTATTTTTTGTGTCCATTTTGTATCATTTACCGGATTTCTTTCATTATCTTTGTGGCAGAATACCTGAAGCACGCTCCCTGCTCTGAAATGGCTAAAAGAGAATTCGAAGTGTGTGCCAACCGTTATAAGGAAACAATGGTATTTTTAAAGCCGAATAAAAATCAGGAAAGCCAGGAGAACATCACCATCAATGAAAACATTAAAACGATATGTTGGTAAGTGCAACCACAAAATGTTAAAATAAAAGAGAAAACAAAAAATTATATTTGTACCCATTAGACTTGCCCTTTTAAATAGATCTGCATTGGAGGGTTAATTTTGTTCATTAGTATTTAAAACAAAATGATTTAAAAATTTGAGACCATTCGGGAAATCGATTGAAAGTTGTAGAAGTACAGTGGGGCTTTTCTCGGTTTAATTTAACATTTACATATAAGGGAAAATAAATATCTAGGGTCTTATTCATAAACTTTTATCAAAGGTTTATAAATCAAATATTCATACAAAATTTGTACTAGAAACCTTTGATAAATGTTTATGAATAAGGCGGTTAAAATATAAGTAAATTGATAGCTTTTAAAATGTATTAGTGTTGTTTATGACAAAAAAATTAAAAATTGAATTTTTAATTGGTTACTAGTTTTATATAGGGGAATTTCATGTCATGTGACCCAACACAAAAAATCAATTTTGACCAAATTTGCACTAAGGTTAGTACTATTGGATAGTAGTTCAGACAGCTCTATCAGCTCTATCGGTCAAGAACTGCCGGACTTGGAGGGGGTCAAAGTTGCACATTTTGGTCATACAGGGTTTTATTCCAATGAATTTAACTTTTCAACTATTGGTCCTAGCAAAAATTGGTCAAAGGAGTTCTGATAGCTATTCTTCATACTTTCAAAAAAAAATTTAATAAAAAAAATAATGGGATGCGAGTGAGTGAGTGTATGTATGTATGTATGTATGTATGTATGTATGTATGTATGTATGTATGTATGTATGTATGTATGTATGTATGTATGTATGTATGTATGTATGTATGTATGTATGTATGTATGTATGTATGTATGTATGTATGTATGTATGTATGTATGTATGTATGTATGTATGTATGTATGTATGTATGTATGTATGTATGTATGTATGTATGTATGTATGTATGTATGTATGTATGTATGTATGTATGTATGTATGTATGTATGTATGTATGTATGTATGTATGTATGTATGTATGTATGTATGTATGTATGTATGTATGTATGTATGTATGTATGTATGTATGTATGTATGTATGTATGTATGTATGTATGTATGTATGTATGTATGTATGTATGTATGTATGTATGTATGTATGTATGTATGTATGTATGTATGTATGTATGTATGTATGTATGTATGTATGTATGTATGATGTATGTATGTATGTATGTATGTATGTATGTATGTATGTATGTATGTATGTATGTATGTATGTATGTATGTATGTATGTATGTATGTATGTATGTATGTATGTATGTATGTATGTATGTATGTATGTATGTATGTATGTATGTATGTATGTATGTATGTATGTATGTATGTATGTATGTATGTATGTATGTATGTATGTATGTATGTATGTATGTATGTATGTATGTATGTATGTATGTACATTTACATTGTTCAAATGTATAACTATTTTATATGTTCAAAATAACTATGTACTTTAATATATATATTTTTTAATTTACAGCTCCATTAATGAACTTGTCGATTGTTCGGAAAATGCTGCACGGAAAATATGTGGTGCCGATGCGGCAAAATTTACACGCGAGTTAGTCGATAAATACGCCAATAGCTTAACAAAGGTTAGTATTTTTCATGTTTCACAAACCTTCCATTACATCCCAACAAACACAAAAAATGTAGTTTAAAACTAACATTTTAATAGAAGTGAGTTTTATTTTGAAATTATGTAAATTTCAGTGTCCTTGATGTTATTTTGATATGCATACACATGTTTATTATCTTTATTACTAGCTATAACATTTTAAAAACGCACCTACTACATACCAAACTCTGATACCATAGAATGAATATAAATGCATGATGGGTATATTGCATATACATATGAACATACATACATACCTATGTTCATACATATGTATGTATGTTTGTACAGACGTACATTGAATATGCATCCGAGTACAATAAATCGTAAGAATTTGAGAATATATACATATGTATGCATGTGTACGAAATATTGCATACGAAGAAGTGACCTAAACCAAATGGTTACTTTTTGTTCCCCTTTTCTTCCCACTGTAGGTATTCTTTAACATAGTTTTAGCAATAAATCGTATAGTTGTTCTAACATTAAACCTCTGGTGTTTCATTCTTCTTTGCTTTTTTCAGATTTACTGCGAAGATTTCACACGACATCCCGAAATTTGTCGCAATGGTGAGGGCGATGCCGGTATTGCCTTACATAGTCCTTGGCAACTTATTTTTACTCTAACAGTGGCACTGTTCGTTTTGGTGGGCTATCAACAAACCACACTAACAAGATAGACGACACATTAGGTGTCAGTATTGTTGCAAAAATACAAACTTGCAGAACGTTGTTCAAAGTGCGATGAGGTCAAAGTTATTGCGTTGGTTGAAATGTCTTAATGATGTATGAATATTTGTTTTTTTGAAAATGCTATGTGGCAACGGAAATAGTAATACGATTGTTTTTCCATTGATGACTGGCTTGACTTAGTTCGATCAACGAATAATGTAATTTATTGACTTTAAATATCTCCCTCCTACACAATTATTCCAACCAGTCAATTCGAATGCAATTCCAAAATTCCTTAAACACTTGTGACGCAGGAAAGCACCAACCAAACACCCAATCAGCCAACACCCACAAGACAAATTATTGTGCCAGCAAATACATATTCAATAATATGTTTTGCTTAACATAAATATGAGCAATTACTAATTTAATTATATTTTTAATTATTTTTTAGAATATAATATAGACATAAATGAATATGTATGTACATATGTATGTAAATAAGACCTATGTATGTGTGTATTTAATTACGTTCTTAAACTACTTGATAGAGATTAGTGAGCCTATAGGCTTCAAAGTTGTAGAATTTCTTTAAAATACATTTTTGCTTTAAATATTTTTATATGCTGAATAATTAATATTTGGCATAAAATAAGTATATCTAAGAAAAATGTATGTGAGCGTTTAATAATTGAATCAAGGTGTACTTATGTATGTATGATTACCTGATGTGTAAATTAATAATAATTTGGTTTTTGTATAATTAAATCCATATCAACAAAGTTTAAAAGTTAGCAAATAATTTCAAAGTAATAGCAATCATGTACAATTCGTAAATTAAATACTTTTCTTAGATATAAATTATTTTAAGTTTCGTCACTCCAAAAAATATTTTCCCGCTTTTATTTACTACAAGTTTTATTTTAGATACATGGATTTTGTATGTATGTCCCCAGTAGTATTTTGAGTTAACTTAAAACTAACTTATGGTTAACTCCAAAGCTAACCATTTTGCTTATAAAATACTATTCAGTTTTGCAATGTAATGTCATAGGAACGAGTCAGTACTCACTATACATCAGTTTCAGTTTAGCAGAAGTTAGTTGACCAACATAATCCTACAGTAAGAGTAATTATTAGACCTAACATTGGCTACACACAAAATACTCCATATATTTTATAAAAATCGTTTTAACACTTATTTGTTATCAAATGAATATTTTTGCTTTATATTTAAAATTTATTGCATTAATTGCATATTCTTTACCATGTAAGTTTTAAGTTAAGTCTAATATTCGGCCCAGAATGATATTGGAAACATTTTGATACACCATTGTTCGAGAATTTAATACAAATTATTTGAAACAAATAAAAGAAAAAAATTAGAAGCAGAAGTTCGAAAAACACTTGTTTAAGGAAAAATACATACAATATGCCAAAATAAAAAGATCTTAACTTTTAATAGAATTGGGAATGTCGACCAAAAAGCCTAATTTACATACATATGTACATATATAGTATACACTTATATGAATTTACACATCGCACTTATTGTGAAGTACACCAAAAAACACCTTAAAACCACACATCGTCACCTTAATATAAGAAAGAAGTATCTAACATTTATATTTTTAAAATCAAAGAAATAATATTAAAAACCGATGAGGGGACAAGTTTTAAATAGTTATTATTTGACAAATAAAAAAATGTTTCCACGGAATAATACTAGAAAATTTAAAATAACTTTTTTTTAAAAAAACAAATGTTAGATACATCTTTTTTGTATTTAGATGGCGACATACAGAAATAGAAAATAATATTAGGAAATATAAAATATCTACACATCATTATATTGTACTTATTTTAGTAATTTAAGAATTAATTTAAAAATTCTAACTATTTTATTTATGTATATGTATATTTCTTGTTAACTGTTTATTATTTTTAGTCACTCAGATTTATGTATACGCAACAAAACATTAAATGTTATTACATAAATTATTTACCAAAAATACATACAAACATCATTGACTCTATTAAATTCTAGTTTTAGCTAATTTCAATTAAAGCTTTAAGCATACACTATATAGGAAATATTATGGATTCTAACTAAAATTTGCATTTATTTCATAAACAAGAAAAGAAAATTTTTATTAAGTAAATTTTCATATTATTTAAAAAATTTTCCGATTCCTCGAAAATCTAAAAAGTTGCACGTACTTCATATATACATTTTTACAGATTTTCGGATTTCTTTTTCCTAAAAAAAGTTTTTAAAGTTATAAAAAATGTGGGAAATTGGTAAGTTTCGTCTTTTAAAATAATGTCCTTAATCTTAAATTTATGAGTTTTATCGGAAATTACTCATGAATTATGTTTTTTCGTGAAGTTTATATTTTTCTCCTTATTTAATTATGTTGCGAGTTTTAATTTTGTATAATTGAAAAAATAATATACATATATTTTTTCATTATAATTTTGATATTTGTGTATATAATTTTAACACAATTTGTAGAAATTTAAATAAAATTATAATAAAAAGCAAAAAATATTTCGTATTTTAATAAAAAAATATGTTTTTTGTCCAGTTCAAAAAATTGGCCGAAATGTATTGTAAGTTGCGAAATAACTTTGGACCATTGGATCAGTTGAAAAAAATTACGAAAATAAATAAATTTAATTTTTTCCAAAAAAACATGCATTAAAACATTAATATTAAGAGAGTGTGCCAAACGATAGCAAAGTTCTATGGTGGATTATAATTTTTTATGGTGAAAAAATGTTTACATTTTGTTGTGCCAAACGATATATTTTCTTGTTGTGATACATTTTGACAATTGTCACAGATTAATCCCCAAAATTTATTATTTATTTTCATTTATCAAAATTAATTCAGCGGAAATCGTTATAAATTCGAAACCTAATAGATTTAGTAGCATACCTTAGGGATGAGCTAATACTTCAACGAATATTTGAAATACTAACTGTTAAAGGTGCAGTGAAATAACACTCAACGAGTAAAATGAAATAACACCCAAAACATTTTCCATACAAATAGGAACTTATTTCATATGAAATTACTCCTAATTTATTGGAACTTATTTCATATTTTTTATTTCTCAGGATGAAATGTATTGGGAGTAATTTCATTTTTGCAAATTTTGTTGAAATTGGAAGTTAATTCATTTTTGTTGGTATTTGTTTCATTCTTTTTGGGAGTTATTTCATTTTGTTGTAATAATTTTATAAACTTTGGTGGATAATGTATTTTGGATTTCCTTAAACAAAGTGTCGTGGACAGTCGGCCGGGCGGAAGGATTTTCAACTCTGGGGTATTTCGAACACCGGCTTCGCTAAATATAACCTTTCTTCGCACATTATGATTATGAACATTATATGACATTCACGCCAATTTAAAAACTAGTTGGTTTTTGAAAAACTAAATTTTAAAAACCAATACGTTTACAACATGAGTTTTTCAAACAATAACCAAATAAAGCCAAAAACTGTTAGTTTTTGGTTGGAGTAAATGGCTTATTATGATACTTCAAATATATCACAATTCCATATGACACTTTTAAAAATGTCCATGAGCATAGTGACCTAAGTTCTATGGCATAAAAATACTACATTTATTAAGAAAAGGCTTAATTTAGTGAAGCCGGTGTGTGAAATACCCCAGAGTTAAAACCCTTGCGCTGTCCACCGCGCTTTTCGAAGGAGTTGGGAGTTATTTCACTTCTGTTGGGTAATTATTTCATTGGAAGTTATTTTATACAAATAGATTCTTCGACTTGGGAATTATTTCATAGTTTTTGGGATTTGTTTCATTGGGAGCTATTTCGCAATTTTTGGGACTTAAATTTTTAAAACTCCCAAACTCCCAATTATTGGGAATAATTTCATTTTAAACTTTGGGAGTTATTTCATTTTAAAAGTTTACTTTTGATGAAATTGGGGGTTATTATCAAAAAAATCAAATAGAAAATATATGTATTTTGTTTTTACACTATCAGATTTGAAATAAAATAAAACTTCAATTTGAAAAAATTCAAAGATAAAATGTAAATTTTTATTTTGTTTCTGTTTTTATTTGAAATTTGTTTCCGTTTTTATTTTTTTCTTGGTTTAAATAAAAATAAAGCTCAAATAAAACGAAAAAATCCAATCGTTTTGAAATTTTTCAAAAAATTTTAAAAAATTATACGATTTTAAATTTTCCATCCGTATTTTCAATAAGTTTTATTACATTTTGTATCTACACTATAATATTTTTAATTTTATTTGAAAATTTTGACATGTCGTTTTACTGAATATTATGGTGTGTAGCCAGCTTAAGTAAAATTTAAAATTACACTAATCTCGCTTGTTAACTTTTTCTCTATTAACAATGAGTACACGTCAAACCGCCAAGAGAACAGCGTCAAAAGCTGATCTAGACAGCTTTGATTTCCAAACTCTAATAGAATCTGACTCACAAACGTATATATGGAAGTGGCTGGATAAAAAACTTTCAAAGCAAACTCGTAATAGTGATGACCAAATATCTAAACTTAATAATTATTTCACAAGAATTGCAGATATGATTAGAACACAAATCAAGAATCTGAAAATCGAATACTCAATGAACTGGATAAACGATTCTGTGATATACAGGAAGAGTTAAATGACATTTCAGAGCGTGATACTAAGCTTGAAACAGTGTCTGACGAAATCGTTGTGCTAAAAACTGGAATAGAGCAATTAAAAATCCAATCGCAAAAGCACTCCCCTGTCGCATGTGACCTGCGTATAAATGGTATTCCCTTTGAGGTCGGCGAAAACTTCTACAACATATTCGAGATCATCTGCAACGAAATTAAAATACCTACACCAACCCTACAATCCATATTTTGTATACAAATAAGAATGATAACTCACTAGATGCAGTTATCATAGTGAAACTAACTACCAAAGAATATAAAGAAATTGGGGCTTGTCAGTTGGTACGTTAAGGAGTTGTCATTCGGTACCTAACTCTAAGTATGTATTGGTAAAATTTTTGTATTAGTATTGGAGCTCCAACCACTTTTACCACACTTTCCAAACATACATACTTGCATAAAATCGTACATAAAAACTTTAGGAAAAATAAATAACATTTAAATTTCTACATTCGCAGATTTTTTAATTTATTTTGCCCACATCTAATCAGCAAACATTTAATAAATATATTTTTCGGACTTAAAATCTCTTTTTTTGCAAAAAAATAAGTTTATTTTAAATAATTTTTTCATTTTCAATACCAAAATATACAACTTTGTTTTGTCGATTTTAATTTCAACACACAAAAATTAATTGTCAAAAAAATTAAAAAAATATTTTTTTAGTTTGTGAAAAATAAAAATATTTCGGATTGTTAAATGCGATAAAATTGTGTAAAAAATTAAAAAATAGTTATGTGTTTGTGCGGTATTTTCGCGAAAAAGTTTTGAAGTATTGTGAGAGAATTGAGTTCTCACAAGTGAGTTGAATTTACACAGAACTCGTCTGTGAAAAGAAGGAAATGTTATTGTTGTAAAACAATGTCATAGTCCAACTTCTTATTATTCTTTGCTAACTACACCATATGACAAATATTTTTTCCTTAAATCATTAAATATACATATATGAAAAGAGCATAAAACTAACCTGAAACTTTCGCTTCTGGGTTCTTTCCTGCTGAAGAGAACAATCAAGATCAATTCTTCTATATCCATGAGAACTTAACAAATGGAAAATTTAAAATATTTCGTGAAGCAGTTTGTTTAATCTTACAATCAGCATACACTTATCGAGGCTTGGTATATGTGAAACGTTTAGTTTCAAAAATGCCTACTTATATTGAACATGTTTATGCACTGAAGTGTTAATTTCGCAACATTGATGAAGTTTATCATAATGCTTTACCAGAGGTAGTTATCAACTAGACTACATTAGTTACAAATAAAATGGGAGAAATTGTTATATTTCTTTTTATTCTATTGAAAATATATGTATTATTATGCTTGTTATTATTTTCAACTTAGTTAATTTGTAAATGCATTTAGCGTTGATTGTTGGGATCAGACCTGGGATAAATGCATTAAATATGTTAATGCATTAACAATTTTTTCTACATTAAAAAAAATTAATGTTAATGCAAGTTTATTGCATTAACATTAACATGAGTACATTTAATGCATTAAATTTGCATTAACATTAAATATTTTTAAATTTAATGCATTAATTTTACATTAACATTAAATATTTGTGAAATTAATGCATTAATTTTGCATTAACATTAAATATTTTTGAATTTAATGCATTAATTTTCCATTAACATTAAATAATAAATAATAAAATTAATGCATTAATTTTCCATTAACATTAATTTATAAAAATAAGAATACAGCGCTAAAGACCTCGGTCTAACTAAATTCAAGTAAAATTGAATGTGTTAAAGTCCTTTCTAATAAGTCCTATACTCGATAATACATATTAGAAAAATAGTATGACTTCCCAGATATTCCTTTTGTAGTTTATTTTGATAAAGTTTTCTAATAAGTCCTATACTCGATAATACATATTAGAAGAATAGTATCACTTCCCAGATATTCCTTTTTCAGTTTATTTTGTCTGTGGAATCTTATATAAATATCATATTTAAAACACACAAGTTTGAATGGAATATAGGAGTTATTAGAAAGGACTTTAACCTATTTAATTTTAGTTGTATTTAGTTAGATCGACGTCTTTTGTGCTGTATTTTTATTTACGTTTATCAATTTTTTTATATATTAATGTTAATGGAATATTAATGCATTAATTTTATTGCTTATTTAATGTTAATGTAAAATTAATGCACTAAATTCAGATATATTTAATGTTAATGCAAAATTAATGCATTAATTTCAAAAATATTTAATGTTAATGTAAAATTAATGCATTAAATTCAAAAATATTTAATGTTAATGGAAATTTAATGCATTAAATTTTATAAATTTAATGTTAATGTAATATTTTTTACATTAAATTAATTTTTTTTTAATTTAATGTTAATGCAAAATTAATGGAAATCGCCCAGGTCTGGTTGGGATACTTACAATTTTACATTTAATCTCTATGATTTATGTGGGATTTCCAAAGACGTTACATTTAACATGATTAGAATTCTGGCCAAACAGAAAGAATTCTGGCCTAATCAGGGTGGAAACGTTTCAAAACTTTTGAACTTAAAACTGATTTTCGTGCTGCAAGGAATAATAATGTCTAATAAAACAAGCTAAGTGTAATTATTACAGCAATCGTTTTAGTTCTGCGCTTGACTCCAAACAAACTTGGAAAGTTATTCGGGATATATGCATTGGAAGTAAAGACAATGCCAATCATTCAGCAGTTGATCCGGACGAATTAAACGAGATCTTCACCAAAATTCCCTCCGTACCACTAAATAGTAATGCTTCACAAGCTTTCATAAACACTCGAACAGTCAGTAATAACTCTATTCCGTCAAAACATATGTTCAATTTTTCA